GTGTGTGTGTCCACGTGGTTTCCATATTGTTCGATTTAAGAGAAAAATCCCAGCTGCGATAGGAAATTTCTCTTAAGNATCAGTATACCGCTGCTGCTGCTACTACCTTCCACCACGCTACTGAGCGTGCGTGGCGGAAGTGGTGATCTCACACGAATTGGCCAAGGGAGAGTGTGTGTGTGTCCACGTGGTTTCCATATTGTTCGATTTAAGAGAAAAATCCCAGCTGCGATAGGAAATTTCTCTTAAGTCGATTTTGATTGGTACAAGCCAATTCCTCTCTCTTAAATCCGTACTTTCTCTTAAATAAGTTTTCTTAAACCGTAGCCGCTACTGTACATGAATCGCGATCGTACCCATCACCTCGTTTCTCATAATGAAACGCAGAACACAGGGGTCAGATAGAGATTGTTCGACACTAATCCTCTTCAGGTCCGACACAAATCTCTTGAGAAATGTTCTACATGCCTGCCTCAGTCCCTCCAAACTCTTGTCTCAACGGACGACCTTTCCTGACATCGACTCGCAGCCAGGAGGCAACTTCATGAACACCTCGTGATCCAATTCCGACTGAACAAACGCTTGCTCAATGTCAAAGTGGAGAAATTCCAAATCATACTTGCACGCCAATGCTATCAACAAACGAATCGATGCAGCATTTGCAGTTGGCGAGAAAGTCTCAAGATAATCCACACCATACTTCTGCTTGAAGCCCTCCGCTACAAGCCTAGCCTTGGCCTTCACTATCTTGCCTGTTTTGTCTGCGCTCCATTTATAGACCCATCTAGCATCTATCACGTTACAGCCTATCGGGGCCTTTACTGCTAACGCGAACATTCCTGCTCTTAACAAGCCTTCAAACTCTGCAGACATGCCTTTGTCCCAAATCACGGTATGCTTTGACTGGCGGGCTTCTCGGTAGCTACCAGGCTCTGTCTCTACATCCTGAATGATCGCTCTCGGCAGTTCCATAGTATCAGACGCTCTCTGCTCCACGAAGAGTGCTTCTACAATTTCAGATGCGGAGATAGTATAGGTCCTTGAGTGACCATGGGATCGGATACGCTCTGCTGGTTTACGGCCCGAGGTTTGCGCACGGGTTCTGCCTTCTCTGACTTCAACATTCTCCTTTGCAGCAGTGTTGTAACTAGCAAGCTCATGCCGCGCACGACGATTAGATGGTACGTGCGTAGCAGGGGAAAATGACTCCGATTCTACCTCCTGCCCTCCCGACTCAACCAACTCTTCATCCAACCCTTCCTGACTCTCCGACTCTACCTCCTGCCCTCCCGGACCCGCCGATTCTGCCTCCCCTGTCTCCGGCCCTTCCTGAACTCTNGCGGGCTTCTCGGTAGCTACCAGGCTCTGTCTCTACATCCTGAATGATCGCTCTCGGCAGTTCCATAGTATCAGACGCTCTCTGCTCCACGAAGAGTGCTTCTACAATTTCAGATGCGGAGATAGTATAGGTCCTTGAGTGACCATGGGATCGGATACGCTCTGCTGGTTTACGGCCCGAGGTTTGCGCACGGGTTCTGCCTTCTCTGACTTCAACATTCTCCTTTGCAGCAGTGTTGTAACTAGCAAGCTCATGCCGCGCACGACGATTAGATGGTACGTGCGTAGCAGGGGAAAATGACTCCGATTCTACCTCCTGCCCTCCCGACTCAACCAACTCTTCATCCAACCCTTCCTGACTCTCCGACTCTACCTCCTGCCCTCCCGGACCCGCCGATTCTGCCTCCCCTGTCTCCGGCCCTTCCTGAACTCTCTCATCGGTGAACTCGTCTGCTGGAGAAGACACAGGGGGAGCTTCGCTACTAGGGGAATCAATCGCGGGCGAAGATGGCACAGAGGGGGGTTGACCTACACTACCTTCATCAACACTGCCAACCTCATCCATTGCTTTACCAGAGACCGTTGCATTACGTCGCAAAAGAATATGGGGAACTTCTCTCCCTAAAAGCGGTCAAACCTCAGCTTCTACATCGTCGGCACGTTCCTCCCCTCCCTCCTCTGCGACCTCAATCGGCAAGAGAAACGGTTGCGGTGGAGGGAGTTGTGACGGCAACGCTTCCCACGTCACATCCCTCGTTTCCTGAATAGTGCCAACCCTCGTAAGTACTCTATGACAGTCACGCGGGTGGTCTCTCGAAAGACCGACATAAAAACAAGCCTCACCCTTCTGCAGCAGCTTAGACGGTTGCTGCCACCTACAGTAAGCCGGTTTCAAAAACGGATACGGTCGAGCATGACTAGCTTCACCATGCCACATCTCCGTACAAGCTGTGTGGTTAATTGCTTCGCAAGCCCAGTGCATCGCCTCAGCCCATAGTCTTATCAGTCTCAGGTAATTGCACATGCCCAAACAAAACTTTTGCCTGAATAC